GGCAGGCGCTGGTATCGCGGGCCGCTCTTTGCCCCTGAGGCGTTGTCTGGGCAGGAAGCTGCCTGTTTTGCCTTGGGCGCTTGGGCAGCATTGTGGGGCTTGTCGTGGTTTGCAGCTGAGTTTTCTTCTCTGGTGAAGATGCCAGTGCGATCCGAAGGTCTTTCTGGTAGCATCACAGGAGCTGTCTTTTGGACAGCTTGAAGATGCTCCTTGAAGCTTATTGGGCCCCAGGTAATCTGTTACTGAAGTAAACTTTCCGTTTGTTATACATCTCAATACTCTGAGACTTGAGTGCACAGGCATGCAATAAAAACCAGAAAAGAGCAAAATAATTTCCCAACAGATTATTTTTATTTCTGCTGCATTTATCTCCTAATGGCAGATATCTTCCTAAATGGATATATCTCATTTCTATTGAGATAAATATAACTAATTCAGTACTTTAAATATCTGAGCTTAAAAGGACTGTGCAGTCATTATTTTTACACAGAAAAATAATCCCACTAAAGGCATCCAGTATACAGTTACATCAGTACTGTGTGAATTGTTTGAATTTTGATGACTTTGGTATCCTTTTGCAGAGGTGCTGGCCAAGAAGTAGGAAGGTCATGCATTATTCTGGAGTTTAAAGGAAGAAAAATAATGGTAATTATTGTGTTAATGTATTTGTACGCCCTGTCATTACAGTACGTCAGATCACAAGAGGATGTTACGAGTTAAATTCAGCCTCTGCACTGAAGTTGGCCACTGTGCTAGAAGAGACACATTTTGTAGCTTTCTAGAACAATATAGCATGTATGATAGTAGGCATTACAGAGGCTGTCCTGTAAAATAAATCCATATCCCCAAACAGAATGTGCATGTCTGAAGTGTGGATTCTAAAATTTACACATATTAGGTTTCAGTGGAACCTAAAGCAAATGTTTGCCAACAGCTGTATGTAAACAGTCACGTATCTTTCCCTTCTCCAGCTGCCTTCTCAGATGTGGCTGAAACAGCTTGCATACATTGGTTCTGTATATTCAGGTGGTATTGAAGTGTGAAAGAAGGCTTGCATAGATACAGAATTATAGACAAAGTCTGGGATCTTTTGAAAGGTTCAGTTTCCCAGTGCAGATAAGTTATTTAGACAGAAGCCTGAGAAGTGAAATCCAATGCTAAAAGCAGTGATTAAGGAAAAATATGCTTTTTTTGCTTGATGCTAAAAGTTACCAGTCACTAGTAACTACATTTTAGACCAAAATGGAAGAGGTTTTTTTATATGTTCTGTTAGAAGCTTTAAGTTTGTTTCATTTTTCAGCTTGATTGTGGAATCCATCCTGGGCTGGAAGGAATGGATGCTCTTCCTTACATTGATTTGATAGATCCTGCTGAGATTGATCTCCTCCTCATCAGTCAGTAAGTTCCATGTAAAAGAGCAGATATACTGAGGTCGTGGTCTGAGCCGTGTTCACATGTAGGTTATTGAGAGAGGCTGAAAATAGGTGTTATACAGATGGTAACGGCATGGCAAAATTGTAGCTTCCAACTTTTTTAAATTAAGGTTGTTCAGTCCCTTCTGACATTACCGTTCTCCTCTGAGCTTGCTGTGATGTCTGCCTTTATAACCTGGGCTGCTTTAACACCATTGTGACAGCTTCGAGATTGAGTTTAGTGCATGAAGACTGCTGAAAAGTGTCGGTTATGGGTTTTGCTCTATTGGCTTTGAATGCAAAATTTTCTCAGAGACTTACGCAAGCTTGGAGTGTGGTTTATATATTGCTTAGGGGCTGAGAGATGAGGAGAGCCATTTCTAAATGATTTAACCAGTCATAACCGAGTCGCTGTAAAATCCTGAGTTTTCGTTGTATGTGTTTATTCTACCCGTGTTTCAGAAGTAGTTCCTTAAGATGGGTCAAACTAGAAGTGTGGCCGATTCATTTTAGTAGTTCATGTTTTAATCCATAGTGTCCAACATGCAAACTTTGGATCACGTTTGTTAGCTTTGTTGTATCTTTGACATTTATTATGTTCCTGGTTCCTGTTATTTTTCTCCCTTTGAATTTATATATAAATTACAAAAAACTTAATTCTGAAATTATTTGGGTAAAGCCTTTGCATTTAATGGAGAATTTCCTGTATTACTCTTACCTTTTCTTGGTTGCATTTCTGTTCACTAGTGTGCAGAATACAGACCAGCATACTTAACAACAAAGTTGAAAATTCTGTTTCTGGATTTTCGTGATGCTATGTTAATCCAGTGAAGTAGTGAATTATATGATATACATTAGTGTTGCGTAATGTTAATGTGTTAATTGGATTTGTGTGTCTATTTTAAGTTTCCATTTAGATCACTGTGGGGCATTACCATGGTTTTTGCAGAAAACAAGTTTTAAGGGAAGGACGTTTATGACTCATGCCACAAAAGCTATTTACAGATGGCTTCTTTCAGACTATGTCAAAGTCAGGTAAGCTGACCCATGGGTTGTCTCGTCAGCTTCTCAAATTATGTCACCTAGATATCTGATAGGAAACTTAAGGTGAAGCCACGAAAGGTGGCTGGGATGTTGCCACAAGTAGCAACATTATAACCATGTTAGAAGTAGTGAATCCTCTTCCTGCCTCACAGGTAATGTGTCTCTCAAATAATTTCCTATCAATTAAAAAAAAAATCTTTCCTTCTTTCTTTACTCTAATTCTTTTCATTTGCCTTATTTGGACTTTTAAGTGCTTTTTCCCCCCATCTGTCTCTCTTAAGACACTCTTTTGTTCTCATGCTTTTTAATGTCTATTTTTTCTTAAGCTTCACAGAAGTAGTGAATTTTAAGGCCCTAAAGATACAAATCACTCTTCAGGACAAGGTCAGATTAAATATTAAATATACAAAGAGTGCTCTGTTACTTACATGTTGCTGGGGTTTTTTCTCTCTTTCCCCCCGCCCCCCTTCCATTACATGCCTTGACACGTCTTTTCTATGTGAATGCAATGGTCCTGAGCATATCTCAACTTAGCAGACTCTAGCCTGGGCCAGAAACCTGATAAACAGTTCTCTTTTAGCTTGTTTGTTCTGGGCCAATGGGAGAAGTGTGGTTTAGTTTGGTTTTTGAGGACTGTTACAGGCTAAGTGGCAGATCTCTGTCCAGGGCTGGGGATCTGTTGGTACTTTTAGACAAATACAGAGCAGATCCTGAACTGAA